GTGTTGCAATATGTTCAACATACCTACAATAATACATACTTGCTAAGTTGGCTTTTTTATCTGTAACCTTCACATAGCATGAAATTCAGCTCCATGGCTTGTCAGATGCTCCAAAATCTGGGTAATTCCCCCCCATATCATTTTTCAAAACAATAATACAAAGGATCAGTGCCCTTCAAATCAAGCATAAGAATCAGGACTTCAGATTATACAATCAAGACAGTAAAAACTGCATATATTGTGCAAAGAATTGCTGGGTTAAGCAATTACAGCCTTCTGCCACAACAGAAGCCTTCAAGCTGACCCACTAGGCTTCAGCCACCCCATTAAAAACATGACTCAAACAGTACAAGTCTAGGATGAAAATCCTTAATAAAAATTTGGGATGCGCTGAACAACACACAGAACTATTTTATGCTTCTCATGAATAACATTTGGCAACAGTGTATGGCATCCTATCACATGGAGAAAAAAAACACAGCTTGCAATCAACAGCACATATTTACAAGTCTAATTCAGATTTTTTGTGTGTGTGGCAAGATGCAAGGTCGCTGTGGGAATTTTGTTATGAATGAGGGAAAAAGGCTTCTGAATCTTGAATCAAGTGCCATTTCATTGAAGGAGACTGCTCTTTTCAGGTACTGAGTCCCAGATTGAAGGCGCATTTTTCCCCACTGCAGCAAAGAGCCAGAATCAAATGTTGACTTAATGCAGCAGAACAGTCAGGAAGGCTGCACTAGTTAAACACTGACATCTACAGTCTTATCTTGGGAAAAAGACTGGAGCAGGATCCACCACCAGCACCCTCTGCAAAGCACTGCCCCTTCCTCACGCTCAGCAGGCAAAATCCACTGTGCAAATTAGGGATTCCACCATGACATCAGACCGGCCAGAATTACTATTCATGATTAACCATGAAAGAATATAACCTGCAGAACACCACTGCTATCCAAAGGTAGGAAAAAAAAAATGCACGACTCAGCGCCAGGTCCATGAGTTGATATTCTCAGTGCCAGCTGAACATCCATAATTTCAACTGAAGCCTACTCTGTGCTGGCACTCTTACAAGGAGAAACACCTTGCAGTTCCTGCTGTTCCCGATGGGTAGTAGTATTTTATTATACTATTAATTACGCCAGTAATTATAATGGAAAGGAAAAAAAGTTAATTTGATAACTTACACAGTAGTGAGCCACAGAGTGCCAACAAACAGAACTGGATGACAGCTGTACATTTAATAAGATCTCATACCAGAGAAAGAAAGAAGGAAAGAAATTGCACTCACAGACAGAATGCATATTTAAATTAGATTATAATTAACACTATCCTGGACTTGAATTTCCGGTAGGTGAGACTAGAGGCCCAGATCTGCACAAATCCTTCCAAGCCACTCATCTTCTGTTCTGACCACTACAGAACAACCTCTCAAATTAAAATATATACATATTTACATACACACACATCCAGGATATCTGCATACATACATACATATATCGAATTATCTCCAGGAAAAATAAAACTCTAGGGACAAAGCAGCTGGTGGTGCCAGCTTCTCTAGATGCAGCTGATGCAGTACCTTCACACTGGATCCTGCTCCTCCAGCACACTACTGGAAGGGTCCTGCACCTTAGATTCACCCCAGCTGAACTCTAGTCAGTGACACCATATTGCTGCTCACCCCTGGTTTGCTAACAGCCAAGCCTTCTCTTCATTCATATATTATAAGATTGATTTTGTTAATAAATACCCACTCACACTGAGAGGATGAGCCACATTACTTTTAAGCAGTCAGAGATGCACTGTCTTCCAGGGAGCCAAGCTTGCTCTTATGCTCTCAGCAGTTCCTCTAAAAAGAAAAGTCAACACATGCAGCATGAGACTCCTGCCACAGGCAGAAGGATGCACTCAACGAACAACAGTCACTAACAGAAGGAGGAACAAATATCACACTATATAATAGAGTATTTCCTGTCTGAAAAAGGCTAAGCAGTAATTCTGATGTGGAACCCTGACAACATAAGAGATCATGGGACAAGCATGAAGGCCAGGAGAAGAGATGCACGCAGGTGGATGGAGAGAATTGAGTAAGCTGTTCCTGTTATCAACGGCCTCTTACCATGAGGAGCTTAAGCTTTTACATTCTGCTGAACGACAGGTACTGTTTACAATCAGGTAATATTCACCTCATTAGGGAAGACTATTAGAAACCTTTCTCTCAGAACCTCAGCTTCATTGTGCTCCCTCTCATCTGCAGACGTGGTCATTGCCTTAGTTTCCTCTCAGTAGAAGTGGTAGGCTAGATTTGCCCAACTAAGTCAGCCAGGAAATCCTTCTTCCAGACCCTCTTCATGCCAGTGTCGCATGCTGCTCTATAATACACCTGTTGCACTCTTGTAATTGTTGACCAGACATAGGATGATTGCTGCTCTCATGGCAATTTGCACCCTTCTTTAGCAGAGGAAGCCACAGTCAAGCAAGCACCAAAACCATCTAGGTGATTCTGTCTGGTGCAAGCTCATTCCTTCCTCAGAGGTGCTTATCCTTGCAACCTCTGGCAGGGTTTGCTATAATTCATCCAGTTACCCTTTCATTATCCGATGATAGAATTGCATTCATAGATAATTTGCCTGAAAGCTGTCTTCTAAGTTCAGCAATTGTACAATCAAGGTTTATGCTTAAAACCAAAGGTCTTCACAGATGTCATCAAGATGATTATACCCTTTCCAATCGTGTATTTTGAGTCCCATATTACACCAGCTGTACACGAGTGCCATCTTAAACACTGCTCTGGGATTGCTCCTTTCTTCTGCACAGGGGAAGAGGCACACCAGGCCCTCTGAGATCAGAAAGGGACAGACCAGGCTGTTTGTGCCATACTTTAGGATTAATTTAGATCAAAAACAGAGAGTAGAGTTCAAGTTCCAGCTTGCTTCCAGTCTTCATCTCAATTTAAAAAAAATAGTTTTTCTCATGTTTTACTTCGAATATTGCAGACTGGAAAGTGAGAAAAGGGGAACTGAATTGGGAAATAGAACCTCTAAATTTCCTTGCTACACACTGCGACTTCCCGCTCCTGTGCCAGCCCTGACACCCTGCACACACAAATCCTCTCCCACTCAAACACACCCAGAAGTGGAGAAGCCACTTATGCAAAGACCTTAAGGATCTACAGCTCCTCAGCTTCCCAGTTCTTCCACTCTCAAAGGAGATGCAGATCTGTTTCCACATATAAAATGCAAAGGTAAAGGATGATGCAAATTGCTGCCTGTAAAATCCAATTATGGCAGCACTGAAGAGCTTTTATGCAAGTCTTCTGGCTCGCAAGGAAATCAGATGAGTGCTTTTAAACTACCAGTTACAGAGTACTTGGGTTGAAAAACAACTGTTTTGTTTATGCATTTAAATTTTAATGTTTGGAACATTCATTCTTCAAAGTCTTATGCTGAGTTCAGGTTATTAAAGTAGCACTGCAACTTGCTTAGAGAAGTAGTTGAAAAACACACTCATTTTTTCTTTTCAGCTGTATTACTACCAAACTGTATCCTGCCACAGAGAAAGCTATTTTTCAGAGTTTCTCCTTGAAAACAAAGATTGGCATTTAAGGCCAGCAGAAAGGAGCACCATCAAATGATGAAAGAAGGGAAAAGTCTTAAGAGCATGTCCCCAGACCAGCTCTTTCACTCTACCATACCTTCCAGAGAAAATAAACGTATGTGTCTCCCTGTTTCTATAACACTATAATTTACTGAAGGGTGGGGGGTGACAAATTCACACTTTTGATCCTGATTATACAATGTTGTATTACTCTTCAGAGAAAGTATATACAAAAAGTTTCAAGGAACCTTACAGAGCTCGAATCAGCTCATAGCTAGCAATCCCAAGCCTGTTATTACATCTCCCCTCCCGTGTTTTTCCCAACAGCACTCCAAGTCAGCTGTGAAAACACTTGTTCCCACTAATGAAAACAAGGGAAAAAAAAAAAAGGATAGGATACAGTGTTTTACCCTGCAGAAAAATGTGGCTACTGTCCCTCATCCACTGCCAGGAAAACAACAGGAAAAAGCATTTGGGCTTTTATTGATTAAAGACATTCCTGATAGATTTTACAGGACAAAAAGCCTCGAGCTCCTATATTTTACCAGAACTCATGTTTAATGTTCTTTCAATTAGTTGCCAAAAATCGAGGGCTTTCAAGAAGGTCAGTATTCACACAGATTAACACAAGATTGCAGGAGAGTTTCCAAACCAAGTTCTCCCAGCATTTTCATAAACTGCAATTGTCTTAATCAACTCTAAAAGCTAAAATAATAATAATTAATGCTAGATGGAGGACTATTAAGTATTATTTTACTACATTTATTGAAGGCCTTAATACTAAGAGAAAAAAAATCTCAGGCTACACTGCCCATCTTCTTCAGGACTGCCATCCACACTTGTCTATTGGAGCAGGATTGGGACTGGACTATAGCTTTAATTGATTTTGCATTTTCTCTCTCTATTTTTTAACCCCCCATCTCTGTTAATTGATTTTTCCTTTTAATCCCTTCTCACCAGAGGTCCTTCCCCTGCCCTGCATTTTTCCAGAGCCCAGCATTGGGCATGCCCAGCAGCACCTAAGGGTACACAATGAGCAGGAAACACACCTCCTTGCACAGACCAAACAAATGAGGTTTACTGGGAAAGATCTGCTAGCAGTCTTTTGCATTTCATTTGCAAGGCTGGTATCACTGAACCTCTGAGCACATGAAGAATGAACCAGTTGCTCAGTCTCAACTGGAACAGGAGCAATGGTGCCAGCCCTAACACTGCAGCAATGCAGAAGTTGTTCCTGTACCCCAGAGAAAACTGTCCTATTGTCTGAATAGAGAAATACCACAGAAAGCAGAAAAGCGGGGAGAAAGCAACACAACATTAAAACAGGTTTTTAAAATAGCATTTTATCACTTTTTAAAAAAAAAAAAAGGAAAAAGCTGAGATGGATGGCACGTAGGATAAGATACCTGGGATACTGCCAGAATGCAGGTTATTTGCATCAGCTCTGGATAGGACATACTTGTAACAGATGTGGCAAAAACCATCACCGCCTCTGTGTTAAACACACCATCATGATCTGTCAGTAGATGGATAATACTTCCATTAAGACTTGACAGGATATTTTACATCCCACTGTTATTCTAAAGTGTTTATTAGGTACAGAGCTCAACACTCATGAGGAAAAAAAAAAAAATCCAGCTTCTCCTGCACACTGTGAAATACTTCATCATTATTTCAAAGCCAAACATTCTTGCTCTTCTGGAACTCTGGTTGTTATAAACCCAGGGTTCCAGGGATCTGCAACATCCGAGCCCTCCTCTCCCAGCACCCAGCCAGGAGCTGGCTAGGCAGCTAGGCACAACACCACCCACAGCCTGCTCCCAGTCTACGCAAGGGCTGAAGGTCACCTGCACCCCTTCTCAAAAAGCAACAGTCATCACCATCATTTTGTTGTCATAAATCAGAAATAGCCCAGAAAATCATAGGCTTTTTAAGACCCAATGCCATAAAAAGCTCATTATTAATGCACCCACAAGTATCATTTATAATTCCTCTATCTCAGTTAAAGGTTTAGTTACAGTAAGCTGATGTCATGACAATGGAAACTTACTGCTAGTTCTTATAAGTATTTCAAAGAGAATGGCAGGCACATCTGGGAGTAATACCCCCTATTGCTATTGTCATCTTGGCTACAAATAACCAAAAGACATCTTTCAGGCTGCATCAATTTTTAGATTTCTTAGTTGACTATAAGTGTGAGAGAATAATCCTGGAACACAGAACACTTTCTATGGTCAACTCACCAGCCTTCCTCACCACCTCACAACTCATTTTGCTCCACCAGTTCATACCTCCTCATTGATGATGATCTTGCTACACACCAGAGGTTTTCCTCTACCTCATCTGCTGAAGAAGTTCACTGGCACCTTCCTTGGTTTCTCCTCACACCAGGACTTAATACAAAAACCCTATTCAGAACACATCTCAGATTAAAGCAAAAACAACATTTATATGCGTATCAAATCCAATTAAACACCATACAATAATATTTCATGGGGATTATTTTAAGTCTGTGATTTTGAAATTTGTTACAAGGAAACAGACACACATCCCTAAATTTACCAACTGTTCTTGGAACATGTAATGATTAAGACATACATATATACTCATTTGAAATATGAAGTCTCCACCTCTTATATAAGAGTACATCATTTAATTTACTAAGGGCAATAAAGAAATTCCTCAGAATATATCTACAGAACATATCTACACACTTCTTTCAGTACAGAGGACAGACCACATCAAAAACCCAGACTGAACAACAACTGAATGCCATAGTTCATAAATTAGAAACCAGACAGAAGCACAAGGACTGCTAACTCTTCCTTGAAGCCCCATCTATTACTACTTAATTAGCTCATACTCAAGGCCCAGCATGAAATGCCTAATCCTGCTGGCCACTATCAAGAAGGCAGAAGAACTGCAGAAGTATGACATATTTCAGAGGTTATTCATGTGTTTGTGCTTCCACTTAGCTTTTGAGCCACAGTCAGATTATGTTATGAGCTAGAATCACAGAATCATTAGGGTTGGAAAAGACCTCTCAGGTCATCTAGTCTAACCATTCACATACCACCAATAGTACCCATTAACGTGTTCCTTAGTACAGGGATGGTGACTCTGCCACCTTCTTCCACAGTGCTCTTCCAGCCACTCCGCCCTGAGCCTGCAGCACTTGCCTGGGGTTGTTGTGACCAAAGAGCAGGACCCAGCACTTGGTCTCATTGAAGCTCATCCCATTGGCCTCAGCCCAGCTCTCCAGCCTGTCCAGATCCCTCTATAGGGCCTCACCACCCCCAGGCAGATCCACACTTGCAGCCAACTTGGTGTCATCTGCAAACTTACTGAAGGTCCACTCAATGCCCTCATCCAGGTCATCAATAAAGATATCAGATTTAAGCTGAATCATTAACTGTAGATTCAAAAATACACACAATGCTGTAGCCACTTCAGTGTCTAATACTCCTTTAACAAACCAGTAGAAGTGTTTGGCAGCAGAGCACTTCTTCAAAGTGTCTATAATGCACTGTACATATCAGTTTCTCTGATAAATCCAGTGTACGCTCTCTCATCATTCTCAGACCATTAATAAATACATTTGTTAGATATATACTGAATGAATTACAACAATCAGGAAACAAAACCCAAGAGAACAAAGAGATAAGAAATCTACTTCCGGATCTCATAAGATAACCAATGAGACATTAATCCCTCACTCTCCCCTGGCAGAAATACAGCTGCATTTAGATAATAGATTTCATTTGTCAGATTTTTTATTTATTTATTTATTTATTTTTTAAAAGAATAACAACTCAAAGTTCTACTGCTTTTAAAGAGTCATAGCAACAAACTTGATCAATGCCAACTTCAGCATTTGGGCTGTGCTATCACAAGGTTGGAATCATCCTTGAGAGACTTTTGGCCTTTGTAATTCTTAACATTAATACATCATATAAGTATTTTTACATCTAATGATACTCCCAATTCCTTTATTACTCCTATAGCTCCAGTGCTAAGAAGGATGACGGGATCATAAGGAATTCCTTAAACAGAAATGGGTTGTGGGCTTGGATGCTTTAATGTCTCAGACCTTGGAGTTTCTGTTCAGAAGCATTCCCTCAGCAATGCAGTGTTGGATTCCTTTTTTTTTTCCCCCGACATTACATTTCATAATCCAGAGCTTCAAACACTTCTTTGCAAAGCAGATGGCCTACTTTATTCAAACCGCCCATCCACCACAGATGCTGCCCACAAGGAAAGCAGGAGCCTTGGGCTGTGTTGCCCCAGGATCTGCAGCTCAGCTGCCATCTCCTTATCATCAAACTGGGACATCCTAGCATACAAGGGAAAGAGCAGAGCAGAATGGTGAATGGTCATCATTTGGACATCAGAGGTACCATTCCATGAAGCAAACCACAGACTGTACTCTGAAGAAAGCATGTAAAATAAATTCACTTTGTTTGGCAAAGAAAGTGTTTCCAAAAAAGAATCAAGCCTGTGTGCTCTAAGAAACATATATGGTCACCTTAAGATTAAGAGGACACAAAATTAGAATGGCAGATATTGAAGGAACGAGCAGAGGGTAAGCTGCTATCTGAAGGCACCAATTCTTACCCCCGCACACCCAAATGAATGCACCTCACACCAGGACCCTCCACAGAACCCTCAGGCTCTGTAGCTCCTTCAGATGAGCATCCTATCCCCCCTTGCCTTGCACTTGCACCCAGCCCACCCCGGCTGCTCCTTTCTTCTCACTGCCTTCCCCAGGAGGAAAGCAGTAGCTCTGCACTTTCCAGGTGTATATCATTTACCTGTGTCTGTGATCCATGCACTGAAGCAGTAAGAAGGGGAAAAAAAAAAAAATGCAGAAAACTCTCAAGGCGTATTTAGAAGGATAAGAAAAACTGCTACCATAAATAATATAGGATCCAGGGGAGTCAGCTTTAGAAACCACTACACTCTAAGCAAGTTTCCAGATGTACAAGGAGGCCAAGCAATTATGTTCAATTCTTGACTGATTTAATTGGTGCGCACAGCAAACCCACAAGACAAACTACAGGCAAAGTTATAATTGCCCTGATTACAAAGTGCTACAAGAAGCTTTCAACAAAATAACATGCAGCACTTCTTTATTTATATCTGACACACTGAAGAACATCACGGACAATCCATTTTTAAAGCCTCCTCTAAAGAAGCTATTATCAGAAGCAAAGAATAATAAAAACAGGAGGTGGGGGAAAAAAAGTGATGGAGTCACTACCTTGATGTATAACCTGTCTGCTTTAATGCCTCCACTTTGTTTTGTTTATGAACACTTAGCTTTAAAATAAATGCCCTGCAGTTTAATGACAAAAATAGCAATTTATGATGTAATTCCTTGATGCCATAATGTAGCAAGCGAGGATCTTATTTGTTTCTTGAGAGAGAAAATATTGTTTTCTCTCACTAACTAGGCTCACAAAGCAGGGTTTGCAGCACAGCCATTACCCCTCTGCTCGAGCTGAGCTTTCTCCACTATTGCTGACATAAGTGTCAACTTAATCAATAGGCTGCACCACGCTGCCACAGCTTTCCCCACACCTCTATTTTATCTGGCTCTTCAACAGTTAGAGAAGATGGGAGAGGAAGCAGCCTAAACAACATAACTCTAACACCACAGAAAGCATCCCCCCCCCAGGCCTGCAAAGAGGCAGCTCTCTGCCAGCTGTCCCTCACACAGGTGTGCAAAGGGGAGGAGGGCAGGACAGCCATGCTTCCACTCTGCCTTTGCTGGAAGCATGTGTGGTTAGGAGAGAACGTGATCCCTTGCAGCAGGGGCTTGGTGTCCTCCAGCTCAAGAAATCTAACCATTCAGATGTGCATCTGTACTCCCTTACCAACATGCTTCCTGCTTGCCAAGCTCTAAGAACCAGTCTTCTCCCACCACTTCATGCCTTACTAACACAGCCAGCTGCTGCTCTCACCCATAGCTTTTTCCAGAGATACCCATATTGAATCTTGAGTTGTAACTGCTGAATGCGCAGTCTGGCCTATTTAATCTCTCTTCATTAAATGTAACTGCTTGTATTGCTTTGAGAGACCAACCAGGGTGATACAGCCTGGTACGTGTATCCTTTCAAACCAGAAGAGGGCTGAATGAAACCTGGATCAATAGGCAAATTCTGACAACAGCAAGGCTGAGCTGCACATCCCAGTTTCGCAGATGGAAGCAGGCACCCACCAGAACACAGGAAGCCAGGCTGAAAACCATGCACTGAAAACCATGCTTCATGCACTGCTCGTGTCATCTAGACAAAGAAGGTTGGCCCAAGGATGATCTCCCTAAATGCACTTGGGGCCTGGGCAGCTCTGAGCAGGTCATTCCAAAGCCAGAGGCAACGTACACAAGTGTTTATGAACTTCCCATCTGGGAAGTGGTCTGCAGAATAGCAGAACAGCCCATTAGGATGAAAAAAGCTTTGTGTGTATACTTCCCCCCCTCCCCAAAGACCAAACCAGAGCCTCTATTGACACAAATCTGACACAGTTATTCAGCATACACATGGTCCAGCAGATTCGTTGTCTCAAAGCTTGAAATAATCTGAGAAGACACCTGCAGATTCAAAGCTTATCACAGCATGCTTGGAAACCAGTGTAGTTATGGTGAATGGCTGTGAAAGCTACAACAAAAGACAATAATGGATTTTTAATAAAATTGCTGTTTTAAATCATCTGCTTTTAACATCTATTTTGCAAACCTGTGAGGAAACCAAAAGCCATTTTGTGGCAGCCTCCTCATTTTTATATATTATGAAGAATCTCAAAGATCATTCCAGCTATAAATACATGTTACAAATGGAGTTTGGTATGGAAGACAATAGCTGTAAAATAATGCCCGGGGGAATGAAAAATTTACTGAAGCTTTGATATAATACTGACAGCCAGAGGCCGAGTGCATTATTTCAGAATCAAGGTAACTTTTCTGTCCCAAGGACAATATTTTACACTACTATTGCTTGAAGAAACAACCAATATTTATTTTATTATACTTGTCTGCATTTTCTCCCACACCCACATATTGAAATTGCTATAAATCCTGTTTGCTCAGGGCAACGTTACCCATTTCATTTATTTGGGTGACATGCTTCTGAGCACATGCTATTTTTCCTGACGTTATTTCCTGATTTTCCAGAAAACCATGCATATCAGGTTGTTTTAGCCAGTTAGGAGTCGGGGGAAGACAGCAGAAGCTTCTGAAACAGCTGTACCAAATTCAATCTTTCCCCCACCCCGCATAACCTAACAGCAGCACCGTATCAAGAACCAGCACATCTCTCAGCCACAGCTGCACATAGCTGCAACCAGGCTGCTATGCAGCACATACAGGGCACAAACGAGAGTTCTCGTCTTTCAGGAGACACCAAAGGGC